AAGAAGAAGAAGAAGAAGAAGAAGAAGAAGAAGAAGAAGAAGAAGAAGAAGAAGAAGAAGAAGAAGATATTACTATGAAGGCAAAATTAACCCCTGGTTTTTATTTCACGGAATATAAATCAATATCACGGACTCTCTTGAAAAGTAATAAGTTTCGTTTGAATATTTACATTTATTGTGGATGGATCTTTTTTTTTTGTGCCGGTCACTGTATACACGGCCGATGAGAATAATTCGGTAAATGAGTCGAATTCAACTCACTTGTCCTGGAAAAACTGCTTGAATATGAGGAAAATCGACCAACGTTTTCCTCAGTCTAGGAATATACAAATAGACTGAATTAAATATCTCTCGATGTTTCTCATTCAGTTTTATCTGTAAAATCGAGGAAAATTTTACTCATTAGCCTAGGGATCACATGCAGATGATTATTGTTCCAGAATGTCCCGGCTCGAGTCTCATTAAAGGTTCCGCGCAAGCAGTTATATGTATACTCTTGGCAATCCCCAGCTTCTTCAAGAAGAAAATCTCTCAAATTCTGTCCATGTAATATGTGGACACAGCCCTTAGTCGAAAATCTTTTTTTTTTCTAGGTCAACTCGGAAATGACATTGGTGATTTGAACAATTTAAGGGACAAGAGTAGCGAAACCTCATTCACTGATGTAACAATTCGCGTTTTCAGGGACAAAAATCTCAACGTCCAAAAGCTGTGCTGATCTGAAAATGTATCTCAATGCTCGCTTCTTTGCAACATTGATTTCAGCATTTGCAGCTTGGTATGTCCAAGAACCTTGATCTTAAATTTAATCGTGACAAAACATTATAAATTAAAAAGACCACTGCTCAAGCATGATCGACAACGAAATTGAACAAACATATATTTTTGTGATGTGATGGTAACAAACATATCGATGATTATTTACATCATGAATCGAGCTAGTGTGAGTCCATAATTATATAAAGTGGACTTCATGTCATCAGTGGACCTTTTTGATGAATTGAAATCGTGCTAAACAGATACCGACATAACTATCTTGGCAATTACTAGAAAAGTTTAAATTTGTTACCTCAACAGCACATATAACCCAGTCCAAAAGCAACTCCGGTAGCGTCGCGTCCAGCACGTCTACGTCTTTGGAAAATCGTTGCAATATACGTCCGGTCGGGGTGGTATCGAAAAAATTCATGGGCAAATGAAGCACCCTGTTCAACAGAAATTCGTGCACCTTAACCGCTGCAGACCAACAACCCAGAAACAGGGTTATGTCGAATATGATGCGTGTAATACCTGGAAATAGTCAAGTCGGTGCGATTTGATTTTGAGAGGTGACATTTTGACGACGGAACCAATCGAATTGATTTGTGTGGCAGTTCATGTGGGCGTGTCTGTAAAATGTGGAATGCAGTGGGTAGTCAGAACGTTATTTAAGCAGGCTCAATAATCCCTTTGCACTGTTGTTGAAGTCACGCCGTATTTCATTCTTCAAAAAATCAGGTTCTCCGATGTTCTAGACAGGAGCAAATGCAACATATATTGCTCCATCAACATGCTGTAAAAGATCAAGATTTCCAATGGGATAATGATTTCAAGAATAAAATGAAATGAAAGAGTTTAGTTTCGCATTACTTTCAATAAGCAACATTAGTTATTGACGCAGAAAATGGTTTACGAAATGAAGATATTGGAAGGTTTACTAACGATCAAACCGAATCGAACATGAACAATCTGACGATCGATGCAAGTGCAATGTATCTCAGTGTTTCGCATGCCAATAGAAAAGCAGACTATCATGTACTAGACAAAGTGTGGTTCGATCAATGTTTCATGGTTACCTCATAGAAACACCAAGTCAGTGAATTAATCGAAATGGGAAGCGCATTATCGAGAACATCGATGTCTTTGGAAAACCGAGCCAAGACCCGCCCAATGGGAGTAACGTCGAAGAACACCAGCGGCAGGTGGAATATCGCAGAAAGTAATGAGATATGCATGGACACGGCTGCATTCCATGCGCCCAACTGGGGTGCTAAATCGCAGAAGAACGACAAAATGGCTAGAATATGACAACAAAAGCAAAGAAAATAATTATGCGACGGTACATCTGCTGATATATGGCAAGTGATAAGTGAGATGGTATTATCTACACCTTCTAAAGAAAATGTTCTAAACACTGAAACAAAGACCATAGTTAGGAATACTATTTTGCAGAAAACACTTATTTTCAGTATAACTACGCTTAATGCCGTTAAATCTACCATGATTTCAGTATAATTGACTAAAAATATAATCAAATTTACTACCATTCTGTCAAAACTACTATGCTTACTCAAACGGCATAGTAGTTTTGATAGAAAAATAGTAAAATTAAATGAATTTCGTTTCTGCACAAATCTATTGGTGGGAGTATTTAATTTAAACCATCAATATAGTATTTTTGCCAATGGATTTTGTTTCTGTGAACAAGTTTTTTAAGACGATTCTAAAAAAAGCTCCGTTCCTCTGACTAAAAAACACGCGGGACAGTAAATCTGACTGGAGTAGTTCCACGCCAAATGACAAATCGGAAAAAACTCGATTTTCTCCGATTTGCATAAAACTTTACATTATTGAGTGTTATCAATCCACAATCCAAAAATTCCATTCCTATCATTTTGGATGTTTTGTTTTTTAAATGACGTCAAAATGGTGAAAATTACATTCCCAGAATCACTTTGAAAAAAAAAAAAAATACAAGATCCAAAATGGCCGATTTTTTGCGAAAATGTAACTGATTGCCCATAACGCATAATTATGCATAGTTTCATGCAAATTGGAGAAGGTCGAATCTTAAATTTTGATTTTTCTATAATATTTGGCCTGGAACAGATCACTAGTAGGATCACAGTAAAGGAACACTTTTCACAAGGTTTAAAGAGAATTTCATCATTTTAATATCACGTTTCCATAGCTGCCTCAACAGAATGGACATTTTGCAACATTAGCGACATATTTTTGAGTATCTATGAGTATTTCTTTATTATTTTTATTTTTAAGTAGTTCTTTAAAAAGTCAAAACTATTCTTCGATGGTATTTTAGGGCTTGAAAGAAAGGAAAATTCTCTTCTTTCTGAAATATACAAATAAGGGAATACTCCCTTCTTTATTAACCGTTATGTGCTCAACAACCCAGCTTCCACTTGAATAACACGGTGTAGCAAAAAAGCAAAAACACACAGCACACAATAGTTAAATATTTGACGAAGGACATATTTTCACAAGTCAACAACAATTGCGAAAGATATCGAGCAGCAATGAAAAGAAGGAGAAGTCCTTGGTTACCAATTAATTTTTAGTTCTGCTGTACGCAACGATTATGCCAAACGTCATTATGCCAAATGTACCAGACCCATTCTAGCAATGTTTCATGCTGAAATGTATCGTTCATAGACGCAAATTATGGCTCTACAAGGATATTGAAAAAAGGTTGCCGTTATCCACATTGGACACTCTAAAAGGTCGTTCGAGTTTTGAAAATGATCCTAATTACTATAGAAACTCACTGCTTGATCCATGACCAAGCGATTTTTTTTTTTAATTTCATCAATAGTTGTAGCATCAATCGTGCAATGTTCCATCAACATATGCTGTTAACCTTCCAAAGTACCATTGTAAAAAAGCCACACAGGACCACAGAAGCGGATAGTGAAAAAGAACCGATAAACTGCCTATATTGTCCATTACCTCGTAGAAACAGTAAACGACCTCGCTAACGGTCATGGGAAGTGTATTATCAAGGACATCGACGTCCTTGGAAAACCGGGACAAAACGCGCCCGATTGGGGTGGTATCGTAAAACACCAACGGCAGGTGGAAAACGGCGGAAAGCAATGAGATGTGCAAATGGACCGCCGCGTTCCAAGCACCCAATTGAGGCGTCAAATCGCAGAAGAATGATGTTATGGCTAGAATGTAAAAGAAAGCAGAAATGAAAATGAAGTGCTGAGGAGCGGTGGATTAACCGGGAAGCTGTTACAATCTGTAATAGTTACAAACGATTGGATTTGACCACTTTAGTTTCTCAACACTTCAAATGATGTTATGATGGGGGAAGAACGTGATGGAGTTTGTCAGAATAAATGTTGTAGTATAAAAACGTCAGCAAAAATAGTGCCCTATTTTCGAATTTTAAATGTTGCCAGCCCATTAGAACAATTGAATGGAAAACAAAGGTGCTCATTATTTTTGAAACACTATCCTCATGTCCCTCGAGTCGTACGGATTAAGGATTAATATAACTATAATGCTACCCTTACATAATGCGACCTACAGAACAACTTATACCAAATTTTAATTTTAATCTAAGAAGAAGATAGCCGACTTAAAATAAAGGAAATTAGTTTCAATTTACAAAACTGGGCTAATTAGTGCGAAAACCGGCAAAACAATGGCATCAACATGATCCTGGCAAAAAAAAGAAATACAATTTACTACAGAGAAACAATTCCAACAAGGTAGTACAAGAAAAAACAAGCCATCTTATGATATTACACAGCAAAAAAAGAAGAGAAACTACAAATCTGCGCCAACGTACCCTAAAGATGGCCGGAATAAACTGTTTGATATTGAACGGTAAGCTATAGTCCAGCGTGTTAATATCATTGGAAAAGCGCGCCACAATGCGTCCCTTCGGCGTTGTGTCGAAAAACGCCATCGGCAGCCGCATCATGTTGTTGAGCAGACGCCGGTGTAAAGCAAGCGCGGCCTTTATTCCACCCATCACTACGGTTAGCACTCCAAGATACAGCGACACCACTGCAGAATGTAATTTCGTAGACACAGGTGTAAGAGCAAGAGGCATATTGTAATTAGTACGATCTAGCAGAGATATTTGTAAGATTCTACCGAGTGTTAGATTTTGATCGATTCAAGGTGCCAAATAACCAGGAAGCTTCCAGCATCAGCCAACCCAACTAATACCCAACACACCATCGGAATAAAAGTACATTAACACATGGTACCCCGAAGAAGCAGGCACTCCACGCACGGAGTGTGGCCGGTAGGTCGGTATCGGTCGTGTCGACATCCTTGCTGAACCGATTCAGCACTCGACCGAGCGGCGTCACGTCGAAGAACGATGCTAACGGTGCACGCAGTACACTTTGGAGCAACTGCTTATGCAGGATACGCGATGCGCTCAGTGCCCCAATGTACAGCGCCAACGTGGATAGAAGCATGGTAAAAACTATGGCCGGAAATACACGAAGATACACATAACAAAAACACATATGTATATACACAGGATGGGATTTATGGGGGCGGTAACAGATAGGATACATAAAGTGAGAGTTGAGGCTGGTTGAGGATAGCATTTCGAAAGTACAACTACACGGGAGACAGGGACGTATGCTCTCAACGGAAGCACGATGGATTAATAATATGTTATAACTACATGCAATACATGCGAAAACAATCGCAAAGCGAGCGTGCATACTAACACCAGTGTCGTTGTCCTTCCACTACAAACTGCAAACTGTTTTGGTTCGAAAAAGAAAGAATATCACATGAAGAAGAGATAAATGTATTCACAAATTTCACTTGTAACTTGTAATGCAAAGAAAAACATTAAATGCTGCTTGTAACTGTTAAGAGTATTAAATACACATTGGCAATGTTTTATTTCTAAGCTTTTTTATCAATGGAATCTCATATCAGGAAATGGATAATTTCAAAACGTTCACTTATCTTAAAATATGGATAACTATCAGTAAAACTAGGCAATTCTGTGCATTTTGGAATCGATTTGAATGTAATTATTGCTAGATATCACTTTATTTTTTAACTTGGTGCATAGGTAAAAAATGAGGTTACGTGACGCCACTGCTTATAGCATTCTACGGAGTCACTGCTAACCCACAATGGTACTATAGGCACTACGAAAGGCGAAATGAAAAACTGATAACAGAAGGCAGACCAATAGGAAAGCCATGAAATCTGTATGCACCCACGAATACGGCAGAACATCGCAGCAGAGGTAGACCCAGGTAATTTATTACACTAAAGCTTCATGTTAGCATTTCCAACCAACTCTGAAAAGCCGCTAACTTCGCGTATGAAGTAACATAAAAAACACTTTGAATGTAACAACTCAAGGCGGGAGTAACCGTCAACAATGCTGATGATGGTACAGCACGCAACAACCACCCTACTGCTTTCTCTCTGAGATGATCACGTTGGTCATGACGAGAGGAGCAACACAATAGTTGGGTAAAGAAGAATTCTCGCGTCACTTTTCAAATAGACCAATGTAACATATCCACCATTTTGAGAAAATCGAAGTTGAAGTTCGACAGATTATTATTTTAACTGTTTAAAAACAATACATTTTGCAATACTATTTTTATTGTAGTCAGTGTATAATAACGTTGAAAATTCAGAAGAAACGGTAAAATCACAATTTTACTTTGAATTTCATGCTACAACATAGAAAAAACCACATAGGACGTTTTGACAAGTCGAGTTGTACATCGGACATGTTACATTGGACGATTTTTCTCAATGACATAATCAATGAGTGTTACATGGGACGTTTTGTCTACATGATACTAGATTCCCTTTCACAGATTTCAGAGTATAGTACTTAACTTTAGATTGGCCCCGCCTTTGGAAAATGAGCACCAATCATGATCGGCAGTCCGAATGACCGAAGTAACAATCAAGTAACCATCATTTCAAACTGTACATTGGACAATTTTTGATCGATGATTTTCTTAGATAAATGAAAGTAAATTTGGATGGGTGTTTTTGTATCACATACAATGATAGAAGAGCAATAGCTTGTATCGCTTAACTCGATTTGTTTACATTTGTTACATTGGTCTATTTGAAAAGTGACGCGAGAATTGCATTATAACACACCATCGACTGGAAATGCTCTCGCAACGTGGGGCTTTAGGTAGTGATGAAAACGTCGCTAGAACTATTCCACAGCCGCAGTCAGTTCATGAGCAAAAGAGGGACGCACATTTTTTGCCTGTAGACTTGGAGACATACTTCAAGTCTCCGCGTACATTGTACGGGTTATGCAAAAGATGTGCGTCTATCTTTAAAAACTGTCGCATTAATGGCCCTTCGCTCATTTTCAACTTCTATTCAATTTTCATACTGCCGTACTCTAACGGAACTATCCACCTACCCTCTTCTAAAAGATCATTCTCTAGCTAATAAATTATCACACTCATGTTAGCATTTCCAACCAACTCTGATGAGGACGCAACAAAACATGTTTCGTAAGTCAAAACTATGAAATTCAAAGGTCAGCTTATCAAACTTAAAAAAAAAAAAGAATTATAAAATGGGGCGGACTGAATTCGAACCATGAGTGTTCAGATGATTGAGTCCGTGATTTTCGAGCACGTCTATCAACACTTGGGAAATCGGAGGGTAAAGGCATATAAGAACCATTTAATGAAGTACGATGATCAGGCCCACCGTTGATTCGATTGGGTATTTTTCGCGAGATTTTTGAACAAAATAGGCAACTTGATGTGTAGGGTAAGGTGGAACAAGATGGGTCATCAACTTGATTTATTTATTTTTTTGGCCTGCCAACATCAACAGGTTATCGGTGCCGGTGGTGTAGTGGTAAGCGTGATTACCTCTCACCCCAGCAGGCCTGGGTTCAATCCCAGTCGGCGCCGCCGGGATGTTATGGGGCACAGTGTTGGAAAAGTTCGCGATCTTTCACGAAGTTCACCAAGGGAAAAGTTCGCGAGGCATAGTGATTTTTTACGAACTTTTCCATCACTGATGAGGCATAACATCTCTGATCACGCCTTCCTTCGGAAGGGAAGTAAAGCCGTTGGTACCCGGTTCATGATTTGATGGGTCGATATGTCCAGGTGTGGGAGCTGCCTCCCTGGCGTCGGTAGAATTGGTGCTCAGCACGGAAAACAAATCAAGGGTAAAAACATCAACAGGTTTAATGTAGCTCCAATCCCTAATAGAAAAGTCATCCAGATTATTTACAGCATGATTTTAACGATTGTCCAACTTTTCCCCGAAAACCAGTCCCCCGAAAAAAAACTTTACCCCAAAATACAATTCCCCGAATGAAACAGTTCCCCGAAAATAATTTCCCCGAACGTACCATCTGCCAATCTTCGCTGGTTAACTACTTGAATCGAACAATACCACAATAAACATATTAAAGTGTGCCGAATAAAGATAATAGGGGAAATGACGGCTTCGGCATGACAGACTATTTTCGGCAACCCAAATTGAAACACTATTTTCACTGGATTTTCTTACGAAAACACTTCGCTGAATGCATACAAACGATTCTTTATGCTTTCAGCTTCAATTTGACTATATTTTTACCACTGAGAAAAAGCAATCTAGCCAGGTTTTCTTGAAATGCAACACACGCACTACAAATTGTAGCTGATTTCGAGTTGCCGATAATAGAACAGCAGATTTAAATGCAGTTCAAATGGAACGGTTGCCGAAAAAAAAACTGGTTGCCGACAATACTCGCTCTCACTAGAGAAGATTGGAGCTTTGTAAAAGCGTTTCAAAACAGTTTTTGACAATTCTTTCGACTGAAATTGTTAGAGCATCTGGCAGCAAAAGATTGTAAATAAACCAATACTGCATATGTGTGCGTTCCTTAGAGAAAAAGGCTATAGAAATAACGTCGCTGCTTAGGTTGCCGAGAATACGTAAATTCCCCTAGTTTGACTTTCGTTAAAACAAAATGTAAAGGTCAAGCTCCTGAAATCGGTGTAATCGGACGAATGTCGACTCAACGAAGAAAACAAAATTCCCGGATTCTCCCTGATTTTCCAGGAATTAAAAAAAACCAGGTGCAGTGCCTACCCTGTTTTGGAAACACAACCCCATCAGCTATAACTTTCCTCAGAATATATTAGTGCTTTAGTGTTAACCCATGAAGAGTGGTCCAGTACAATTTCAAATTAAATAAAGCGTTCCATACATTTTATAGAATGCAAAAAAGACATAAATCTCGTGTTGCCAAAAACGGGAAGGATCGGCATCGCGATTAGCAATTTTCCCGTTTTTCTCCCGGAATTACGGAAATTATCGCGGTTTAGGTATTATAATTAAGCACAAAACTGAATGCGATTATAAGCCCAAGGTTAAATGGGTAATTTCTAAGACAGCAGCACCTTGCTGGATCTTGAATTTGGATCTGCGACAGGTTCAAAGCCTTCACAAAATTTCCCTCAAAACTTTACAGGCTTTTGATTTTTCTCAAGCCTTTGCTTTAGATTAATTTCCTTTCACAGAGATCTTTCCAGAACTCTTCTAAAATAAATTTGAAATTCTATAATAGTACAGTAATTCTCTGTAGAACACTCAAAAAAAAATCTTAAAATTCATCCTTTCTTCGAATTTTAAACTCTTTTTAAGAATTCACTGAAGCTACTTTTTTTAATTTCCATGAGGTTTCCCCCTGGCAATGCTTGTCTACGTATCTTTGAATCATTATTCAATCATAAAAGTGCTGCTCCAAGCAATAAAAAAAACATCCCAAGCAAAACCATTATCCTAAATTCTCATTTAGTTACTTATCTGAGCTAATCAAGCTGTTAAGAATACAATAAGGAGCAACAACTAGAAGTATTCAGAAAAAAATCATTATCTTCTCTTAAAGCTGAGCTTAGACAAGGCAAGTCAATTGATCAACTCAGTTGAAATCAACTGTCTTGAACGTGTAAACTATGCCATTTAACTGTCTTGTTTTGAAAATAGTTGAACCAGGCTCAACTTTTCAAGCCAATTGAATTCAACTGAGTTGATCAATGACTTGATTTGTCTAAGCCTAGCTTAACTATTTATCATTTTTTATTTTTCTCAAAAGCGCTCCAATGCGCTCAAGGGGTTGATTTTTGTTGGACATAGCTGGATCGAGCAGACGCAGAATCTACTTGAAGGTTAAATTTTGTCAGACGCAATTAGGTATAACATCTATTAAGAGACGCACATTCCCATAAGCAGCTTAATTTTGCAACAACAAACAACGTCTAACGTCTCTTCGGAACTTAATTTTCGTCTCGGTTCAACTCAGGAATGTAACAACACCCAGTGGGTGCTGAATTTATAATAGGCTCAAAATTATCGAAATACCCTTTTATTTGAGTAACTCTTGCCCCACTTGCAAAAATGCAACATCAATCATTAAACAACAACAACTGCGCAACTCTATTTAAATTTGAAATTGAA